AAAACAAATATTCGAGGTGGCTGCACTGTTGTGACAGCCTTATTTATCTGAGCCACCAGGGAAGGAGTGACTGTGGCTGGAACATCATCTTTCCTGACACACCAAGCACTGGAGCATGGAGAAGTGTTTCCCACTGGTAGAGAAACTGGGTCAGAACTTCCTACCATGGCAAACAAGGATCTGATATGCTCTGAACCATCACAAGAGCTTTCAGATCATCATGAAAGGATGCTCCACACAGAAAAAAGCTCATCCTTCAGAAACGAAGTTCTACATCCTTTTTAACCAAAGAAAAACTAGAGAAACGTAAGGCTTTGCACATGCCCGTCCTACAGGAGCTACCTCTCTCCTCGGAAATGGGTACAGGGCTGCTGCCGGGACCACTGCAGTGCCCACATGTACCATATCACTGCCAGGAGGCTTAATGAGACTAACGTTCTTAATGAATTCTTAATGAAAATGTTCCTACAGGCTATATGGCACACCTGCATATGCAGAAGAAAATAACTACCACCATTTTAGCTAACTGAAGTCTATCTATAATTAATTGCTAGATTTCTTTTTTTGCATTGCTTTGTAAGAGTTTCCTGTAGATGGTCTTCTGGTGCTTAACATATAAAGGAGTTGCAGCAATTTTTTATCCCGTGAACATCCAGCTCTATAACTGCACTGAATAAAACCTCACATGCAAACAGCAAGAAACTTAGATTTGCCTTGTATGTTCCCTGTAAAGATCTGTCCTTTGTTTTATATCTAGAAAGGGAGAAAAATCCACAACATGGCAGAAAAATGAGGTTATGTAAACCTCTCCCTGACTACATCTGCCCACAGCTGCCAAGGGGTCTGCACAGAGATTTATTCCTACAGCTCAGCTGGAGTTTTGGTGGTTAAACTGGTGCAGCAAGGCTCACTTTGTGCCAGCAACAAATGGAGGGTTTATTAGGGAACTATATATCTCCAATACGTGTATATAGGGAAAAATTAAAATATACTCAAGTCTATTCACTCTTCTGCATTACATAAATATTTTCCTTAGTGCTTTTTGATCTACTGATATTTAATTCTCTATTTTGAGGTTTCTTTACAGTTGGTTCTGGTGCACATTTTGAATTCACAAGACCAACTTCCTGCACAAGGGAAAACAAAGTTGCAACTCCACTCCCATGAAGGTCCCAGTTTCAAAGCTAGCTTGGGGATTTTTATTTCCACTGCAATTAAAGACAGCTGCAAATCTAAATCTCTCCGGATGCCTGGAAGAAGATTCAGCCTTAAAGAAGGAAATTGGTCAGTGGTTGAAAAAGGAGACCCAAGTGTCTGACAGATGTGAGGAGGCACACTAAGGATGGCAGCAGGTCTCAGGGTCAGCATGAAGCCCATCTACACACCACCAGCAGACTTCCTCACTTGACTTTTTATAGATGCATTTGATGTTATTGTTGGAGCAACATTACGGGATGGTGAATTTCCCTAAAAAGGCTCTAAAATGCGTGGTACTTTGTGAGAGGTTCAGAAATCCTAGTTTAGAAAGATCAAGGTGACAGAAGAAATGGGATTCCTTCACTTTGAGCTCTACTGGGTGAGGAACCAGAAATGGTGGGAGCTCCATCCCTGGCAGTATTCAAAGACAAGGCTGGAGAGCCATAAAAAAAGTCTACTGAAGGTCTGCACTGACAGAGGAGTGGACCAATTATCCTACTAACAGGCCTAGTTCCAACTCTTTTGCTGTGTACCTCCAGTACAAGTTAACTCCAGGCATTTTTGAGCTTGGCATCCTCCTAAGCCAGTCCTGCTGGTGCTGTGCTGGGGTCCAGACGACGCACTCACCCAGCCTGGCCACCTTCACCATGTCTAGTGATGAGTCAGAGCCCTTTCTATAAACACAGTAATATGCCTGGCAGTACTGAACAGGCTGACTGACGAGCCCAAAAGCCACCAGCTCCAAGTGTTTATTTGTCCCGGATGCTCTATCAGGTTTTAAAGGTCAACTTTATTTTGAAAATACAGTAATCTGAGTCTTCCACTGGTCTCTCCTCCCAGAGATTTGCCGGTACAGTACTGGTACTGGAGTCACACCCCATCTTAGTCAGAAGCATAGAAGCATAGAAGAAACTCTGTTCTCATAAACCAAAATATATCAAGAGCCAAGAGTTGACAACCGAAGTTGGTGCAAAGTGTGTGTAAGAAAAAGTGGAGAGGCCAAAAGGCAACAGCCTGGCAGCTGCTGGAGGGTTTGGGTGCTGCTGTGATGGGCAGGGGAGCTGGAGCAGGATGGCAGTGACACAGATGGAGCGTGCCGGGTGCCTGCGGGCAGTGCTATCAAACTCAGCACAGCTGTGATAGTTGCTGTTTGGTACCTCTGCCTGGCCATCAGATGCTTCCTGACCCAAAATACACGGGAACAACATAGGGACCAAACTATATCCACCACTGGCTGACTGTGCTAGAAACAGTGGGACAGCCTGGGAGTACAAACCCCTTCCAGTGTCCCTGGGCAGAGGCAGCATCCCTCCCCAGGGCGGATGCTGGGTCTCCTCCATGAGCAGGAAGCTCAAGGCGAGGATGCTCAAAGCTGTCTGTGCGGCTCCTCCACCTCACTCTCCACAGGAGTGACAAAACTTTCTGTTTGCTTATCTCTGCCTCTGCTATTTTTCTGGTTTTCCCACTGCATCCCACATCAGGTATACGACACCTCGCAGGTGGCAAAGCCATAATGGCCGTGCTGGGGAGCGTCCCTCCTAACCACTGCCACAACCCACCGCGTTTGCAACAGAAGGTCTGTCGCTCTTCAAGGACTCCTGCTTTCATCCTCACCATAGCAACTCAGCTGCTTTTCCTGCTTGCCATGCTAATGGTGTCTAATAGAGAGGAGAGCTCATTTTACTCCATGGTTGGAGATGCGGGTGAGGCTAAACCTGGCTAGACAGACCCAAGAAGATGGACACCTGAGAAGGTGCTGGGACCACCACAGATACCAGCAAGCAGCTGCCCGCTCTGCCCTAATTCTGGCTGAGCCCACAGGGCTGATCACGCTGGTGGTCCCATGCCAGGGTGGGCAGAGGATTGCCCTCGGTTACACTGTCACTGTCTCCCCCCACTTAGACATGGCAGGAGCATGAAAATGCCTCTGTTTGCCCCAGCAGATCTCTCCCTTTCAACTGAAGTCCAAAAACTATACGGCAGCTGGGAAGATGGCAATGGTGAAGACCCCAGGGGAGCTGTTAGAGCCACCAGAAACAGAGGCATTGATTTTAAATCCTGGCTATGGTGGCATTAGCTTTTAATAACACAGGGAAAGGATAGGGGGACTGGCACAGCTGGAGGGGTTGTGCACAGTCCGGCCCTGCAAGGCAGCGCCTCCGTAGCTCAGGGCAGAGCTTGCCAGCTTAGCAAGGGGATTAGTCCTCCATTCAAAACCTGCCTGGGAAGTGGCTAAGAGAGCGAACAGTTTTCTTCTACATGAAGAAAACGTAATAATACAGCAGCAAGCATTGTATTCATTACAGGATTGCAGCTAATCTGATGTCTGCTTTTATTCTGCTGTTGCTCTGCTCCTGTACTGCTTGCAGCAAGCAGGCTGGGACAAAGGCAGAACCAGGCGTCCTTATGACAGCCCTCAGATAAACATCCACTGGGGCAGGGGATTTCAGGGTGCGTCTACATGCAGACCCTGTCCTGTCTCAAAGCAGCTCGCTGGCTTTGGGAAGGGTGCAGGACACAAGCAAGCCTGACCTACAATGTATTGAATGCGTGATGCGCTGCGCTCTGACAACACAGCAGACCTACATATTTACCAGACTGAAAAAATGCTTTGCCTGAGATTTGCCTGTGTTGGCTTTTGCCCTGGAGGGGCTCAGAGGACTGCCTGGAAGAGGGGGCCATACCACCAACATCATCATCACCATCAGCTGCCTGAAATTCCTTCCTGTCTGCGCCCCTGGCCTGGGGGCATTACCCAGCACACCAAGAGGCAGGTTAAATGTAAGCGACACTCTGGTTCGCAAAAATTAAGGAGATGGCTGCTCTAACAGTCCATTTACTGCAAGTCCTTTATTCAGACAGATCAGTGACCTCTTTGGAAAGCTAATTTAATTGCCCTTAATGTATGAACCCTTCCATGAGACACCTGGGATGAGTTCAGTGCAAGGCAAAAGCTTTCACTGTGCAAAACCACATCAAAACCCCCAAATCAGGAGAAACCCACTCTTTATTCTTTGGTGGGCATCTGCAACCCAGGAACTGAGAGATAAACCAAAAGCGAGTGCTTCATATAGAGAATGCAGCCAGGCTGCGCAACCAAGGGACACCCAAAGTCACCCGGTCAAATCCTGCAGCTGGATTTTAAATGGGGTGGATAATTTTATGACCGATCACATTTGTAGCTGGTATGTTAAGACAAGGGTAATGAAATGTTGTGCTTCGGGGCACATATGGATCATTGCACAAGTCAGGCAGGCATCTGCCCCTCCCCACAAGAGAAATTGTAATTGGCAGGGACTGAAGGACTAAAGTTGAAATTGGGGATTACTGTGGACACAAGTGCCACATGAATCTAGGGAAAGGGCAAATGGAGCTTTTCCGCTTCTTCTCAACTGTAACAGTTCACAGCAGCAAGTAACAGTAATGAACCTGACAGATACCCAGACCAGTAAGAGCTCTGCCCACCTCAACTGAATATAGCTATCACCCCAGTAATGGGATGCTCAGGAGTTCCACGGATTCACTTTAGTTTGATATTTCAAGGGTTTATTTACAGCAAACCAGCTCTATTATCTTCACAAGAGTTGGCAACACTTACCGTGGTGAGGAAAGAGGCTGAAATGCAAAAAGTATCAGCAGGGGGTTTGTCCAGAGTAACAAAACATTTTGGGTTACCGACTAGAGAGGTTAGGACATGATCTTAAACCAGGCTGAGAACAGTCACTTGGGACTGGTACCAGAAATGCCACTGCTCTGCCCAAAGCCAGCCTTTGCCAGCCCATTGCTCGACTCTGGACAGTTACCTCCTCCAGCCTTCGCCTCTGCTCCTTCTGCTCCTCGATCCGCTTCTGCCTCTCAGCCAGCAACTGCCGCTTGTGCTCCTCGTTCTCCCGCTGCTGCTGCTCCAGCTGCTGCCGGCGCAGCGCCTCCGACCGTTCCTTGTTTGCCAGCTGCAGCCTCAAGAAATCCCGTCTCAGCGTCGACTCCCCGGGCAGGTTTAGGATAGAGCTGCGTAAGACAGAAGCATCAGAGAGGATCCCCTCCCTGCACCCCTAAACCTCTTGGCAGGGGAAGTTCTGTGTGATTTTCCGCCGTGGCTCCTCTTCCCTTCATCCCAACACCCGACAGAGCTTGGGCCGCAGCAGATGGAGGGACCACAAATGTTGGGGCAGGGCAGAAGACACAGCGCTCTGTTCACAGCTCATCAGCTATTTATTTGCTAAAGGTTTCCTTTACATTAAGTTTCTAACCAAGGTCTTTTGTGCTGCAGTGGCACACACTATATTTAGCTGTTCACAAAGCACATTTAACATGAATCATTGCCAGCTATTAAAATACTACATTATCTCAGTGAAATAATGGAATAACCTGATACTAATCACAACGGCTCTGAAAAAATGTCACCAAAGAAAGTTCCAGCCCTAGTCTGCTTACAGCAGCACTGGGGAGGTTTCACAGTGAAAAGTCACATAGAAACAGTGAGCTACACTTGGATGTAAGGAACAGCATTTTAAAGGGTCATCTTTAAATTCACCTCACATTTTTTTCCCTATCTAAATACCCTCATTCCCATGACAGCACCACCATGCTGCAGATCTCATCGGCAATGGAGTACCCGGGTCTTCTTCCCCAGCCTTCGGCCAAAGTGACTTATACCATCAGTGGATACCCACACACCATCAAGCAGAGGGAATATCCCATTCTGCCAGGGAGCAGGACTGGGTGCTCACACTGTCCTTTTTCGATCTCTAGTTCATGTGAGCCTGTAATCCAAGCCAATTTTATGAGATGTAAGGGCAGAAATGAAACGCTGATTCTCACCTGGGCTCTCCGGAGTCATTTTCCTCCTCCTCCTCCTCACTTCCACTGTACTCATACTCTGTCTCATCTAGGAACAGAATTGCTCATCAGTGCCCTTTGCTGGACTCATTTGTTTTTTCCAGTGGTTGAAAACCCCAGAGCCCTGAAGGCAGAACAGACAACTCTCTTTTTCTCTCATGACAAAGAATAAGCAGCATTAACTTTCTCCATTTTCTGTTTTTACTGGGGGCAGCAAGGCTAGGGAAGCATGGGCAACCTCCCAGCATGTGAGCTGGCACCTCACATGCCCGTGCTGGCCGAGAAGAGGGGTGCAGTCCAGGCCGGAGTGCCACGGGCAGCACGGCCCCAACAACCAACAGCACTCGACGTAAAGATGGGGAGTGTCCATAAAATATGAATTTATCTCCGTATGACAGTGAGTGACCCCCCTCTTCAGGAGTGTTCTTCAAAGGCAGGTGCATCACAAGCTATTGAAGCCACAGGCTCTGGAAGGTGGGATTTAACTATGGCTCTGAAGGCATCAACTCCTCTCTCTCCAAGCATATGCTCTTCCTACGGAAATCCATGTATTTTCCAAGCAATGAAGACATCTACATAAAAGCCCAACTGCAATGTTGTGCTACATACTGTGATTTCTATTGGGATATCATCTTTATCGGATGAAGGGAATGATAGGAAAAGAACGGCTCGCATTTATCCAATTACTCTCCATCTCTAGGGTCCAGCCTTCATTTGCCAGACTAAACACATTTAATACTTCACTGGAATCCCGTTTTATTGTTTTGATTGTAGTGAAATCTATTACATGGGGCTGGAAGGTATGCATGAAAAATTAATACCGCTACCAATAAGAAGAGAAATAGCGACATATTAATTTGCTGGATTCTATAAATGAGCTTTCAAATTAAAATTCGGCTCACAAGCAGCTGAGCACTTTTAACAAGTTTCTACAGCTATCTGATCTTCCTTTCAGAAGACTTTGATAGGGCCTGGAGAGTTCACTGAAAACATTCAGTTTAATAGGTTACTCCTAGTCAACAGAATAGCTCTGGGGCAAGGGTCCTGTCTAGATGTTCGTTTGCACAACTCTGCTCATGGCTGGTGCAGCACGAATGTCACGTAGATCAACAGAGCTGGCATCAAAGACGTGAGCTGGGACAAATTCAGCTTAGCAGCTTCTCCCTCCCACACGCCAGTACGTATATAGGCAGATGTAAATTTTATACGCACATTTTAATGAATCAAAGCTTAAATGTTCCATGTGGAAATTACTACCTGGATGAAAAAGACACCATTTTTTCACCAGGAAAAAAAAGATTAAAAATCCCTGCTTGGCTGGGATGACAATCACCTTTAGGCTTCGTATGAACACTGATTGTTTTGTTATGGATATTTATTTTCATTTCAATGACCGAGAGGAGTCAAATCAAACAAAACAATCTGACCTCAAAACCACAAGAAGCGTGGCCACACAGAAGAACCACACCTATTTCACTCCACCAGACTGCAAACAAACTTAGCCATCTGAATAAGGGAAGCTGATACTGACATAACGAGCAACCCCCTCCTGTTTGCCTTCCTCCTTCTACCCATTTTTTACCCACACGGATGCACCTTGCTCTGCCCTAGGGATCTCCAAGCACACGGCAGAGGTGAAGGATTGCTTGCAGTGTTGCTGCTCCACTAACCTTTCTCGCCTCGCTTCTTTTTAGTCCTGTCGATGTGGTCCTTGAGCTGGATGCGGACCTGCCTTTCATTGGGCTGGTCTCGGATGAAGGGGTGCTTCATCAGCTGCTCCGTGGTTGGTCTCTGGCTGTGGTTCTTCACTAGGCAGCTCTCAATGAAGGACTGAAACTTTTTAGACCTGGCCAAGGACAGAAAAGGAAGGTACAGAAAAAAACCCAGGTAACTATACTGATTCTCATATTAGAAAGTGAGAAACCTGGGGGTATCTAAGAAGATAATTTGGCGGCTACGCAGTTCTGGCTCAGATGAAGCCTTCCAAGAGGATTCCCATGCTTCTCTGTTGATGCTTAGCATCATCTGAAAGCAGCACCACCACATGTGTCCTCTATCACTTTCTCCTCTCCTCCTCTTCCCATGCATACTCCTATCTATGCCTTCCTGGTACAACTACAAGAAACAACTGTTCTGAGTCTGGAGAAAGTTGGGAAGCATCAGTATGACCAAAGCCAGGCATCATCAATGGCAACCAGGAAAATGCAAGGAAGTGTTCCTCTTCCCTTCCCTCTGTGAAAGTGCAGGCAGAAACGAGACCCAACACATACAGATACAAATGCAATTCCTTAATGGATTGTTTCTCACTTTTTGTGGGCTTAGGCAGTGTTTCAAGAGATGCAGTTTTCTGAAGATGAGTGGGGACAAGCTAGGACGATGCTTTTTTCTAGATTTAACCACCCAACATTACACAGCCTGTTGAAGCTCAGCCAACCTCTGGGTGATGCTCACTGCCTACAGCCCGTCCCTGCTTTCACAGGGAGACCCAGCAGCATTATTGACCCACCTGGTCCTGGTGACCACCGTGCCCTGGTCTCTGCGATCACAGACACAAGTGACTGGGACACAATCATCGGGCAGCACTGCTCAGGCAGAGGTGGGAACACGGCTGCCAGTGGCAGAGCCCAGCCCCTCCTCACGGCCTGCCTTTCTGCAAACACTTCAATTCAATCTCAGCTAGAACAATTCCAACCAAATCTTTTAAGAAACAAAATTCTCTTAGTCTCAAGTGTTGCATATCAAAAGTTTTCCTGGAACTAATTTCACCACATTACAAACCCAAGAGAACAGAGATTTACAAGAAAGAAAGATGTTGACAGGCCACTATACTCTGTGTTGCTTTAGCAAATAGAAAAATGAGTGTAAATTAATGTCAGAAGCCAACAGATAATACAGAATTGCATTAGAAGTAAAACAATAAGCTTTCAGGGATTTTACTTTTAAGCTGTCAGACTAAAACTGACTTATCTTTTAAGTGTTAATCCATACAAATTGAGATGCAAAAATAAAATACGCTATTGGATTCAATTAAATCCTCCCTCCAAGCTTTATTAACAAGTAAATCTTCCTTCCCCACCTTGCCTCAAGAAACCCAGTGTCTCAGTGTATCCAGAAGGGACAATCCAAAAAAATATCCGCTTCTAAAATATGATTCTCCCCTGTTGGTGTGAAGCTGGAGAGACTCTAGTCCTGGATGTGTGGTCCAGAGCATTTGCAAATACGGTCAAGGTGAAGCAGCTAAAAGGTTATCCTCCTAAGACACCTTTGCAGCCTTGAGCTAGCTGAGCAGCTATGGACAGGGACCAGCTCATGCCTCTGGTTTTCCTGAAATCATCCTCTCCAAAAAAGCAAGCCTGTCCAGTGGCACAGTTCAGCCCTCATCAGGGCTGGAGCAGAAGACAAGAGCTTTCTCCCTGACTCTGACCCAGGAGGACACCATGACACATCTCAGCCCCCTCACCGGGTGCAGGTCAGCCCTTCTTCATGAACCACACACACCTCCAGCTCTTGGGGTTTACAAAGCTTAAATAAATGTTTGCAAAGTCTTTGCAGCTGCTTGGATGAAAAGTGGAATCAGAGTGCAAATATCACCTCATTAACAAAGAGGTTTTGTCATCTCTTACAAGGCAGGGCTAGGGAGTGCTTGCAGGAACATCACTAGAGTTCAAATTCATTTTATCTGCAAAATGTGAGGTGAAGAAAACAAAGCTTCATTGCTGGCTGGCTTTAACTGGGAAAGAAAATTATACCAAAGACTCTTCAATTTCCTAGGAACAGAAAGCTATTTTAAAAGTGAGTTCAAGGATTTAGTAGGCGGCAGACGTATTTTCCTCTCTGGGATTTCCGATTTGGGCCTGCTCCCATGCCTGCCTTCACTCTCAGCTTCCCCTAACTTACCCTCAAAGGTAAGTCAAAGGAGTCACTTCACGATTTCTTTCCTGTCAGGAGAAAGATGGTCTGCCCACTTGGTGTAGTTTCATGAGTTGCTGCACACAGAAGCAAGGATGAACTCAAGGTTCAAGTTGAACCTTTCTTCATTTTGCTTTTCTCTTGTGATCTGTGATTGTGAAAACCACTGGCTGCCAGAAAGCCACTGTGAAAGCCTGGCCAAGCATCTCCAGTCCTCTTTGGGTCAGGTTTGCAGAGCTCCAGGACCCATTCTGACCATGCTCAAAACTTCTAGCTGAGAAATGAGCTGAGGAGAGCAAGTTTGCTTGGTATCTTGCTGAAAATGCTGAAAAAATTGCTCTTAAGGAATCTGTGGAGTTGCACTGACTTGGATCTTCATCTGAGTCCTTTAGAGTCTCTCATTGCAATGAAAGCTTGGAAGATGGATACAGGTTGGAGCTGCCTGGAGTACACATGTCCCAGCTCTGCTGGAGACCAGGGGTCCTTGCTTGCTCATGAAGGGACAGCAGAGGCCAGATGAGCACCATGCTCCCTTGGAGGGGTTCAAAACTGAAGTTTCACTAAAATATGACTTCCAAAGCAATCGCTTTCTCAAAAGACTCAGGATCCTGTCCATGGGAACAAAGCCCTGGTCAGACCAGCGAACCCAGGGCTGATCCCACCATGGTTCACCACCATGAGATGTGCAAACCTGAGACAGTCATCGGCCATGTGAGGGGAAGCTGGTGCCCAGCAACACTCTGGCTTGCACAAAGCACATCCGGGTACCTCAGAGCAGGGACAAAAATACAAATTCCATCACAGCTCCATTTTTACCTTAAAGAGATGGGGAAATGTTCTGCTGAAAACATGCTTTCACAGCTCCCCTCTGCCTGGAGGCTGAGGAAGCCTTTGTTGGATAAACAGCACTTTTGTATAAAAAATAAACTCTCAAGTCTTACAATCCATTCTGTGCTGTGGCAGTGAGGATAATAAAGTAGGAGACTGGTGATCTGGCAGAAAACGAGTGTATAAACTATCTTCTCGGCTGACTGATGGTATCCTCAAAAGGCTGCGCAAGGAGAGCAAGCATCTTCAACACCCTCTGCCGAGCCAGACAGGAAAGATTCTTCTCCTCCTCCTGGAGCAGTTGATAATCAGGCTGACAAAACTGAGACGCCTCCTGCCAAAGCCTGGGTGAGTTTTTAGGGGGCTGGTCCTAAAACCCCATCACCATTCATCTGATGCAGAGGACTCCAAGCCCCTCTTGCTCCTCTCTCAGCAACAAAACACCTGCTGCTCTGGCACCAAGTGTTTTCAATACCTAGCAATTACTTTTTTTTTTTAAATCTTCAAAACTATAATAATTTCACAGAATAATGCAAAACTTCCCTCTCCGAGCTCAGCCTATCTGGGAGCAAGGGGAAGTGCTGTCTCTCTAACATCTGGCAGATCCTTCCTGACCAAACCACCACTGAACCTGGAGCAAGCAAACAGCACAAACCAAAGATGAGTGTTTTTAAGGACTCCAGCTCCATCGGTACAGAACATACAGTAACAAAACAACATCTGCTGGGCTTCAGGAATATTTTTCCTACGAGTTTCTATTGGCGTGCCCTGCTTTTTCAAAACAGTGATGTATTTTTTTCCTGTAAAATTTTAAAATAAAGTCCAAACTAAGTACAAATCTCTGCATTCCTAGGTCTTCAAGATAAACTATCCTTTTTTTGGCATGGATACAAGTTTCCACTTGAAAACGGAACCTGACTGGAAACAAATGGGAGCCAAGCAAAGTGTAATCTGGCTTCAGGCTGCAGGAACTGCCTTGGAAAAGCTGACTCTGTGCTGCAAAATGGCACAAAACCTGCACTCACCAGAGTGATGCTGGGGTCCATCATCAACCCTTGAAGCTATATATAAATATATATATATATAATGTAAACACCAAATCCCCAGCACGTCCGGGCTGCAGCAACAAGTAGCTCCAGAGACATTTTTACAGCCATCGAAAGTTGAGAAAGAGACTCACCATTTCTTTGATTTCAACCTCGGGGCTGGGTTGCGGGGGATGAGGAACAGGGCTCTCATGGGATGCATGTCACAGAGAGCTGCAATGTGGAAGAAGAGGCATTAAATATGGCACAGGGTCTTGCAGACCTCCTGGGCTTCCTAAAGAGCATACACACCCAACTGGGGAGACCCAAGTTTCCTCTGAAGCTACAAGACCCACAGGGCAGGAGGACTTGCAGCAACAAGCCCCTATAGACAACCCCTGGCCCAGCAGCAGCCTGGAGCTCAGTAAAAGCCGATGTCCCCAGCACTGCCAGGCTGGAAATGCCTGCACTCCTGCACATGTGTCCCCAGCACCCTGCAGGTGTGACAACAATGGGCCCAGAGCATGGTACAGCTGCACCACATGCCACTATGCTTTGCTTTATTAACTTGCATTTACCAGCACGCAAGGACAGTCTCAGGATAATGCTGAAAAACCATGGCAGTATGACCTGGGCAGAAGCATCAGCTGAACTCAGCATGCCTCTATCTGTGTCCATACGGAGGTCGGTAAAACACCAGCGCTGAGGAGCAGTGCTTTCCCTGCTTCAAGTCATACATTCCTTCTTCGTCTCCATGTTATTTGAGGAAACTCAAGTGACATATCAGGAGCTACACAGGGGGTTGTGCCTCTGCTCACTGTCCATCTGTCTCCTGGGCCATGCTGCCCTAGCAGCTTTCTCCCCATGGATGCTGCGAGCTCCATCTCAGCAACACCAGGTTGCTTGGGAAAACCTTTGCACAGTGTTTCTTACACAGCACTGAGCACAGGCTGATGCTCAGCAAACCCCAGCACATTACAGCCCGGGGTTAATTAAAGCAGAGCAATGAATCTACTTACGGGGAGCGCCTTCCGCCATCTCGATGGCTGTTATCCCCAAAGACCACAAGTCGCTCTGTAGAAGAAAGCAGAGGGATACAGGTGATGCAGGGGAGCATCGTTACAGTGGTGGGCACTAGGTGAAGGGGGGAGCAAGCCCCTGGACCCACACCTTAGCAGCCTGTCTCACCCTCCTGCCATGTGCTGGAGCTTTAGAGGAGGCTCTCAACCCCATTGTTTATCCAAAGACTTATCTCAAAGTCTTCAAGGTGTTTTTGGTGTGGGATACAACCACCTCACTGGGGCACTGCTCCCAGTAGCTGTGGTGAGGACATTGTCTGGGGAGATGCTGATGACCTGGAGGTCTCCTGGTGGGGACATCTTAACAAGCCCTGTGCCTCAGTGAATAAACCTCCAGCTCTCAGATGAGCTGGTGACAAACTGCTCCCTGGCTTCACAGCTGGGCTAAGCAGAAAATCTGGCTGCTGGCTAAAGCTGGGTGACAGATCCAGGGATTTGAAACAGCTCCACAGAAAACAGGTTGCCTGGGATAGATTAAAAACATGAAGTATCTTGAGATACCTCAGGAGACTCTTGTATCATGGACTGCTCATTAAATGGGGGCCTGAAAAGCAGCACTTTGCCAGTGGGAGGACAAACAGGCACTTTTATTTACGCTGTTTCCAAACCTTCCTCATGTCACATGGCAGGCTGAGTCTCCTGAATGATCAGAGCACAGAGAACACACCCATTTGGGAAACTCCTTTCATTTCATATCTGTATCATTTTTCTTTCCATTTTTTGCCCTTGCAAACAGGGACATTTGTACCCCCAGTTCCTTGGCAGAGAGCAGCAGCGAGCTCCCGTCGATCATCCCACCACCACTGCTGAGCTGCGGCTGCACCTCGAGATCCAGTAGCAAGCCCCAGAGGACGGCTCGGCCCCCATGTCAGCAGCGGAGGCGGAGGCAGTACGTGCCCGGTGAGAGGAAACGAGCACCTTCCCCAGCGGCACTGCTGCAACTTGTTTTTTTGGCAGAAGGCGGCTAATTCATTATTCTGGACACTGTGTACAGGGCTGCTAATGATTCACAAGCCAGCACCCGATGCAGCAGGAACAGGACCCGGACTAATTTTGGTGCCTTCATCTCGAGTGCAGCCTCTGACACATTTCCAGGGGATATGGAGGGACTTGCCTGAGATGGGGGGCAGCAGTGGCAAGGGCAGAAGCTGGTGTGCACAGGGGACCAGAACAAGCCTGATGCTATGTAGCTGCAGCTGATGTTTTCTGGAGAACAGCTAAAGTCCAGTTAGCATGTCAAAACCAATAAACATTGTAAATGGGTACATCTCAGGGTGGAAGGGATGGACTCTGCCTTCCAACCCTTCCTCCTGCACCCCCAGGTTTCACATCTTGCTGTCCCTTCGCCATGCTCTCTGCCATGTCCCTGTAATCCCACCTCAGTTTTCTTCTCTCTGTTTCAAGAGCTGCCCTTTTCAAACTGCCTCAAGCCTTTAAACCCGCAATTTAGCAAGTAAATCCCAGAAAGGTTTGGGGTTTTTTTTCCCAGCTCAGAGCCCCAAAAGCTTGGCCAGAGCTAGAAAGCACCTCTAGGGACCACAGGCACCTTCTAACATACACCATCCAGGAAAGAAAAATTAGATTTTCTATTTCAAGGCACTTTTCGTCCTTTTTAACTCAAGTTCTCACTTAACAAATGCTGTCCTTGCTATACGCCTTTGTACCTGCTTAAAAATTCTCTCTCAAATCTTATTTCCAGCCTTCACACAGGACAGCCTCAACCATTCTTTGTTTCTGGTCAGCTGGGATTTCTGCGGCATACTTAATTATCACAGTCTTTCCACATGATTCGGCACACATGACCCCTTCCCTCTGGGAAAATGCTGAACCCCTTACAAATTCCTAGTGTGTCTTTCCACATCGAGATGCCCAGCGCTACGCGCAAGATGCCAAGTGATCTTAAAGCTGGAGCAATATAGAAAGGGATTATCACCTCCCTAAGCCTCCCAGAGAAAGCTGAAAACTCAATCTGGAATTCAGGCTTTGGCTTTTTTTTGTGTGGGGTTTTTATTTTTGAGCCTGAAAAGCTTTTCAGTGCACCCAGCAAAAAGATGCTGTGCTAATACATTTGCATTGTCTTGGGAAGGGAAGCAAGCTGCCTTTTTTTCCCCTCCCTTTTGATTCTAAGCTTATTGACAAGATAGCTCTGGAAAAAAAAAAAGGAAGACTGGCTGGAGGAAAAATGAACAAATAACCTCAACAATGTGGGGTTTCTATTTGTTCTTTTTTTAAAGTGGTTTATTTTTGTGAGGAGGTATTTACTGCCTCCTTCCATAGCTTACACAGGCATCTCTTTCTGGCTAAGAAAACAGTGAGATCAGAGGCTTTTTGTCCAACAGATTAAGGCTGTGAGGATTCTTTTTTTCACCCTATAAATCTCATCTTTTGTATTCACTATTTCAAGCTGGTTGGCTAAACCTGAGAGCATCTGATTTGCATCTCTTTAAAAAAAAATAAATTAGCATTTACATCCTCCCCTCCTTACTTCAAAGGAAGAGCATCAGGTGCAGGGATGTGATGCGGGGTACGGACTAATGTCCAGTGGCTCTCAAAACACCCTGCAGTGAGTGTGTCGGCAGCGATCAGCCTTCTGCTTCCCACCCCAGCCAAGGGAAAATGGCCAACGCCAACTTCAGAGACGCAAGCGCCCGGCTCGCTACGAGCGTTTGATTCTTGGGGACAATAGCGGGATTCTGGTCCCAGTGCTTGTGCATCAGTCAACGGCATATTAAGTGCCCTAGTTATTCTGGGAAGAGGAAAAAAAACCTCAGGGATTTCTGAGGGTAGAAAGTAGCCTATGAAGATATCAGTCTCTTTTAAAAAAAAAAAATAATAAAAAGCTGCAATAAATTAGAGCGTTGCATCAGTTGGCTGTCAGTGGAGAAAGGGCCAGAGCAGCTCGCACGGGCTGCAGCCCTGCTATGAAGCACTGCCATCAGCAGAGTTGAGGAAACGCCTGTTGTAATTGGTTAATCAAAGAGAATTAAGTAATTGCAGATTAAACTATTTCTACATGTCCTTATCATTAACGATTTATGTAACCCCAAGTCTGAACTCACACTGGAGAGCTGCTCTCTGGAAAACCATCAGTTCAAAAGTTGACTAATGCACTTAAATAGCTGCAATACCAATGCATCGCTTGGGTACTTTAAAATCCCTCATCTCTCAAAAATTGCTCTGAGTAATTAGTAATTGCAGCCTGTGATGGTGGGCTGTTGCAGTATACTATAGTGTCTACTGTTAGGAAGCAGCTACCTAGCTCCACACCAGAGTGTCTCAAAGCCCTTTTTTAAATACTACCTTGTAAAGTGACCTCAGCATGCACACGAACAGAGACACGGCGAGCTTTATGTATGTCTTAGCTTCTCCTCTCAAAGCTCATGTGTTAGTGTCTTGCTCTCCTCTCTGGACACGCTCAGTGGACCTTAGAGGGTTTAGAGCTAGAAATTCAAGTTCTGTATGCTACAAAACACCAAGGAACAAAAACCAAGGGACATGTCTACAGATGTGTGTTCAGAAACTTGCAGTAAGGCAGAAACAGGATAAAATATATCAAGCTGTCCTTGCTTTAAACAGCGGATCTCACTGTAGTCTGAATTGTCTGGTGGGACTCATAACCCTCCTGTGGACCCATTGCATGGCACGGGGCTCTGTGCCACATTACAACTCAGCAGCAATGTTGTGCTGCCACCGATCCAAAAATAAACTTCAAACAGGCAAGAGACATGCGAAAAGTAGGTCAGCCCCCCAAACGTCTGATTGTGTGGCAGCCTTCAGATCTCCCTGTGAATATCAGCCTGCAGGCCAGAAGATGTGATTTTGTCCTTTCTAAACCTGACCTGACTTCCCTCCAGAGTAAATAGAGCAAATACAGCATGTTTGACTGCAGTATTTAAACATGCAGCACTGTAAAGCACGCTAGCAGGTAGGAAGCCTCCATCTGACACTTCTCCCAGCATGGGGAAAGACTTCTTCACAGTAAATTTGGATACGTGACCAGCACAACAAAGAGTCACATTCGACTCAAATTGGCACCTCAAAAATTCAACAGCCAGAAACCAGGAGGAGAATATGCTGCCTGTCAACATAGTTTGCAAAACTGCAAGAATAAACTGAATTCCTGAGTGCTCAAGTTCATGGTCCTCAGGCATGAAACCTAAGATCATATCAAACACCTTCTCCAGATGTTTATGATCACAACTCTCATTGCAAGCACCAATAAGTACTGTTTTAATCCCTTGCCTACTTTATTTGTGAACATGCTAGACTTTGCAAATATTACATCTGTAATGAGACACAAAAGAGTAGGAAGATGCTCGTGTAGGTACCTTGAAGTCGTAAGTGGCATCGGGATTTTCATCGCAGGCAATGACCTCGGGGGCCATCCAGTAAGGCGTTCCAATGAAGGTGTTCCTCCTGCCCACCGTTCTGTCCAGCTGAGCGCTGACACCAAAATCCACTGCGGATCAGAGAGACAAGAGGGCATCCATCGTAAGGTCCTAGAAAACCTGAGCAACGCTTCTGTTGACTGTAAAACATTAAGTTCATCCAGACCAACTTCTCTGCACAGTCAGGAGAGAGAGACAGGGACAGAGACACTCCTGTTTGATCTCTGCTGGGACCATCAGAGGTCAATCAAGGACGAACCTGCTCATCTGATGTCCAGGTTTTTTAAGAAGCTCTGTGCCTTTTCCTCCTTGCCAGGAGGCAATGAAAAGAAATCACAGCTCCTCATACTAATGAGAAACAAGGTTAGCAACATGAATAAGCAGCAGCCTTTGTTCTTTGCTTTCTCATTTGAATTAAAGCCTGCCAAATACTGGTAGAAGCCTCATTTTTCTACCTAAATTGTTAGAAATTGCAGATATGCAAAAGACTTAAGGAACTAAGGGCCAGGTACAAAGGCCCATAGGGAAATGTCAAGCAGAGAGCTGCAAAATGAAGCAAAAACTGATGAAATCAAATCAATGAGAAAATACTCTATGGTCCACTAAGTTCACTTTGCGCAACACAATGGTTGGAGATTTGCCCTGGAGAATTTCCCCTTGGGGAATCTTCACCAGCATAAAGCCAAACGAGCTGGTTGTGCCATCTGTTAACTTGGGGTTTTATTCTGCTGTAAAGAGAGAGACATGAGAAAACAAGGCCTGCACCTCATTTTACCACTGTACGGATTTATTCACAGCATAAATTGAAACGCACAAAGACAGCCTTAATAGCATTGGTGCTGGACAACTGAGGATACTGGCACATCATCTGTGCTGATCTGCTGTCTTCCATATGATCCTCACGTGAATGCCTGGTCTTCTCCAGGGTGACTAACACCGCATATGAAACTCAGAGTAGCTCTTGCAAATGAAGCTCTCTCCAACAGGTTGGCTTGGGAAGAAAAATCTGGATTATTTGACACTAAATTGACTGGACTACAATCCTGTAGGAAACTATATGAAGGTGTGAGGGAACAGCCTTCTGTAACGGCTGGTGATGCACACAGGCCAATTTTCAACCCAGGGCATGAAAAAAATGGTCTTGATTGCTCAACCTGCATCTGATGGCAGAGCTGCCCAAACCACACATCTGAACAGAAACGCCACTGCAAGTACATCTTTGCAGAACTTGGCCATCAACCAGCAGCAGTTTATTGCACGGCCAACACCCAAAGTCGTGCTATTGAGGCTGACACAAGAAAAAAAACAGAGTAGCTCTTAGGATCCATCCCCTTTCTCCAAGTCATGTACAAGCCAGTTTTGCTGCTTCTCTCCAGCCGGCCCACTTGCAGTTTCCAAGAGCTCTAACCTGTTCTTACCTAGTTTAACTTCTGCATTTTCCGTCAGCAACACATTCTGTCCCTTGATGTCTCGATGAATTACTTTGTGCTGGTGTAGATGACTCAAGCCCTAGAGAATTCAGAGATAGGTTAGAGGAATCCAAGTTCAAAGCCTGTTATTTTCTGACATTCCTCATCAACCAATTACGCTCCAGAAATGAAAGATTCACAGCAGTAATTAAGCACTTCAGAATGCTTTTGTTTATGGTGTGTTCAAAATACTGTCCTGTGTTACCTGCTGGGAGGCCATGCCCGGCAAGCGAGACGCCCATCGATAGGCTATACATGCCACAGTGGGTGCTCTCCATTGCAGGAGACAAGAACCCTCATTCTATAGGTTCAGCTTCTGCAGGAACCCATGTTAACCCAAATTCCTCTGTGTCTCCAGACATATTTCCCCTCATGTGCTCCCTTGCCTTAGGGAGCCATTTCTGTGGCAGAAATAATAGAATGGTTTTGTCTCCTTTCTGTGGTCCCGTCATCCAGAAACTGAAAAAAAACAATTCTCTTGTTGTATCAGTCCAATACACTGATAAGCTTGTATTTAAAAAGATACCATGCAAATACAAATATTATAACTTGCACATATGCCTAATGGAGATATAGCTCAAATTAAAAGCCTGTCTCAAAGGCTAAAGGTAAACTAGCTTTTCTGTTGTGCTTTTTTATTAGCTCATTAATTTCTTCTTGCAACCTACATTTTTATTTCAGTTTCAAAGTAATATCCACCTATATTGCCAGCTTAGTAAAACACAGATTGCTTCAAAAACTGATTTTGCATTAGGTTTACATTTTACATTAAACATTCATATTTGAGGAAGAAAATAATTTCTGCTACCACTACTGGTAGTTATTGGTCATTTTATGCTTGTTACCTTGAGACAACAACACGGAACACATTAAATCTGTGCAAGAGCTCTTTTTTAGCCACATTATACTTGGTTAGAGGCACCTTTGTGCACTGGAGGCAAAGCAAAAATGTCACGAAATTTCAACAAATCCTTTAACAACGAGGGACTGAGCCTCGTGTGTTAGAATTATGACATCTGAACAAAGACTGAGGCACACTTTCTGCAGCACAAAAGCAGGAGCCCTTCATCACCCGAAACCCTATGGAGGTCACCAACCAACTGCCCCAATGCGTGGCCAAAACATGAGCGATGACACACGACGGTGGCCCTGGGACATGAGCCAGTGACTCACTGCCAGGGTCTATTTTAAGAGGTAGGCTCGCAGAACTCATACATTTAAAATAAGCCCGTGCAACTGTGGTTTCCTGGCACTGAAAGCAGCGTCCATACAGCAACTGATTAGCTACAGTGCCAGTATCATCCTCGTATCATGTTGGTGTGGACAGAGGCACTCAGGGTCAACAGAGAAGTGCTGTGTCACCCCAGGACACCAGTGGCAGCCTCAGCAGCAGTGTCAGACACCTCCTTTTGGAGCAGTCATTTTGCCTCCTTTCCTTTCATAGAATTATTTAGGTTGAAAAGGATCTTTAAGAACACTGAGTCCAACTGTAAACCTAACACAGCCAAGTTCACCACTAAACCATGTCCCTAAGTGTCGCATCTATGCCTGCTTTAAATACCTCCAGGGGTGCTGACTTGACCACTTTCCTGGGCAGCCTGTTCCAGTGCTTGACAACCCTTTCACAGTGAAAAAAAATTTCCTAATATCCAATCTAAACCTCCCCTGGCACAACTTGAGGCCGTTTCCTCTCATTGTATCACTTGAATGGCTCTTCTACAGGTTTCCTTCACATGGCCAATATTTCTGTTTTCTCCTGAATGAAACCTCAGTTCATGGAGCATTTTAATGTCATTCATTTTAATGTCGGGCAACCACAGCATCTGACCTCAGTTGTGCAAAATGCAAGCAAGCCTTTGCTGGAGCTGTCATCTCCCAGGTACATGAAACTCTGGCACAGCCCATTTTAAGACATTCCAGTCTTTATATCCATCTTATGGGTACAAAAGCTGCAGCATCCTCATTAAAGCCAAAGACTTGTGAATTTAATAAAACCTGGGGTGCTTTTTAATCATGAAGATTCTTTCCATTGACTTTATTAGTCCTCGTCTTTCTGTTAATTGAAAGTTAAAGGAAATTATATTTTTGTTGAAGGAAAAAGAAGGTTAAAAGTCAGAGAACTAACAGAGCTAAAGGGCATTAAATAGGGCTTATTTATTATGCATCATACAAGCACATGAATCATTCATGCCTACTGGCACCGAAGAGGCTCCAGCCCATGGCAGTCACGAAACCTGCAGAGCCAAAAGCTTTCCGAGTCTACCGCGCACCAACAACCACCAGCATTCAGCTCCCTCTGGACACGTACCCGTAAAATCTCTCTGCAGATGTAGGCGATCCACTCCTCCTTCAAGGTGTTCCCCTTCGTGTTCTTGATGAGGTCGGTGACGGAGCCTGCGCCGCAGAACTCCATCACCAGCTGCCAAACGGAACAAAAACATCATTACTGCAGTGACAACAACGGCGTCCTCCGGGCTGCCTGGCCCCAGGGTAGGACCCCAACACCAGCAACACAGCTGTGGGGCCACAGCAGTGCGACACAGAGCCACCGGGACATGATCTTGAACCTATCAGCTATTAATCCATGTGGGTTTTGTTATAAAAATGAAACAAAAAGCAGGCTGGAAGGCTTGAAAGGCTTGTGGCTCTCCAGAAGGATGGGAACAAGAAAGAGGAATCAGCCTAGTGCTGAAAATCAGCAGAGGAAATTGGAAACCTTGTAATCTCAGATCCCACCACTATATCCTATACTTTGTACTTATGATCAATGTTTAGTATCAACAGCAGCACAAGCAAAACTCCACCTCTTGCATATAAGTTCTTCAACCCTGAAAATGTGAAGGCAACAAGACAGATGTTTGAAGGCTTCCTACAACCTTAAAAACCAGGTATACTTTTCAACTTTTTTATTTTCCTTTGCTTTTGACCACCTTTTTGAGCAGGAAACCTTCCTTGAGTGAAGCTTGCCATGCAGCTCCAGGCTCTCCAGGAGAGAGGTGGCATCCTACTGCTCAGATTGGTTCAAATAAGACCAGGCATCGCCACTTGTACCACTTCCAAAGTTTCATAACATCAAATACAGAAGTACAGCGAAGTAACCTAGGCCCAAATCTAATCCTGCCATTGAGCAACTGTGCAATAAACCTTATAAAAATAGCACGGGATGCGAGTCTGCTCCCAGGGACATCACAGATTCCCCAGGGCGTGCAGGAGCTGGCAGTGTGCTCCAGAAAGCGAGCACAACCCGCATATGCAACAAGCCTCCTCCAAGACCTTCAGAAGTGTTTCTCTCAGATGTGAAACCATGTTTTCCAATTAGATCAGCCTGCTACTAAAAGACATTCCCTTACAAGCAATGCCTTGCCAAATCCTTCAATGTGCGTGTTTAAAGTTTCTTACCACATGAACCTTATATGGCATTTAATATTCTCCAAGCAAGTGACATCACTTCATTAAAAGCATGGGCCAAGAGGAGAAGAGAAAGAGTGAGCAGGAGGGTTACTTCTAATCAAATTGCTCAAACACAGTGGCTTAAAAGACTATCATAAATAAATGGTCCAGAGAGAGTACTGCTATAAACCTTCAGGTTAAATAAAATATTTGAGCAGACTATACCTTAGTTGGCTTTGACCATGCCTTTCTCTTTAGTTTTTATATTAAGTTTCTCTTCTTTTCCTAAACTGACAGCTGAAAAATTCTTTGTACATCCCTCTTATGTCAGGAAACTGGGTTCAAGAAAGAGACGCGTGACTGGCCAAAGTCTGCCCTATGCAAAGGCAAGGAACGCTGCTGCAGCTCTTCCACGCCAGCAGGAGACCAGCAATCCAGCTGGGCCACTGGGACACGGCCTAACTCATGGGTTACTCCTTACTCCCCAAATGGCGAATAATGGAACAACTGGCTTCAAAGTCACTTTTCCTCTTCTTCCTTCCTTTGCCCAATTGACACACGGGGAATATCAGTGTCTGCACATGTTTCTGATTAAATGAACATTTGAGGTACCATGGCAGTAAGCATAGAAAGGAAAACCCTGGATAGCTGAGCCAGCCACAAACACTTTCCAACCCAAAAGGCTGATCTGCTCCAGTTCCCTGCCATGGAAATTCACCCAGACTCTGACCAGGGCTTGGAGCAGGAGGAAGAGGAAGGGCATCCTATGCTATGTACAGCAATCTCAATGATTTGAAGATGGAAGAAATCCCATTAAAAGTACACAGTGCATCCATTAATTTGCCAGATTATCTTTATGGAGCTGACAGTTCATGAGGTCCTCTATCCTGTCCCTGATTTCCACAGAGCAAAGATTATTTTTGCACCAGGCAGTGAATAATACGGCCACCTGCTGATGTATCCCAACCTGCAATTGTGAAATGTCCTGGAGATGAAAGCAAAAACTGAGAGAGGGAAGGAGCAGTACAATCTCAAGAGGAGTGTTTCCAACACAGCTTTTTAAAAGCTGCACAGTCCTGTAATATCCATAGCACCCTGAGGACTTGTTCAGCCAGCCAGCCAGGAGATGGGTGGCCATGGGATGTGAGTGCATACTGTCACCAATGAGCACCAGAGAGGGAGAAGAACCAGGCAGATATTGGCATAATATCAAGATATCAACACCCTATGGGTATACTTAGGTTGGAAAACCACAAACAGCCTTCCAGGAGAGACGGGAACAAAAGTTCCAGCTGATGTTAGGACAGGGCTTAGTATACTTAGGAGAGACTTTCAATGGCACTTACACTAACTTTCTTACCAGTCCCATGTCTCTAGGTGAAAGCTTTGCCCTGCACACACTTGCATCATTACCAATGTCATTAAAGGATGAAGTCATGATGGGGTAAGACAATAAAATTGAAATGCAGATTTAATTTTTATTAACCATAATTAAAAGTATCATCAAGATGGGCTAAAGGTAAGATCATCTTCTGAAATTTAATTTGCAAGGCCATTTATTGAGGAAGTATTTTTAAATACAGTTCATTTAGCATTTACTTAGCTATTCATACCAGAGTTACAGCAAACTTCATAAGCAAGGCAAATTCAGAAGCAGCAGCTGTACATTTCTGTGTCCTGCTGCCTCATGAATTTTTTGTTTAAAGAGCCTTTGCAGCATTCAAATCAACCACCACTTTCCCCAGTTTGGGAATGACCAGTAACACCTCTGTTCCCATTGTTGCTGTGCATTACCTGAAAGGGCTCAAACCTGAGTGCAGAAACCCCAATCCAGCTGATGGTGAACAACTCCAGCTTGTCCAGAGAAAGCCTTCAAAATCATCCAACTCCTTTATTCCACAAGCCAAATCTTTCTGTGTTTCTATTCCTCGCCCCAGAAACAATTTGACTTCTCTTTTTTAAGTTGCAGAAAAGAAGCACACAACACCCCCAGGCTAAATGCGGCTGGAAATCCTTCTTCCTGCTGTGTGTGAAACCAGAACTTGGATGCAATGCAGTCCCGTATGCCCAGGCCACCCAAGCCACCCATCCCACCCCACGATCTGGCTCCCTTGTGAAAGGGTCTCTTGTCACATACATCGTGGTTCTGGACCCAGTGGTGGAGCCTTGAAAAAATCATCGAATCACAAAATTATAAAGGATGGAAATTACCTCTAAGATCACCAAGTCCAACCATGAACCCAACACCACCATGGCCACTAAACCATGTTCTGAAGTGCCACATCCACACATTTTTTGAACACCTCTATGGTGACTTCACCACTTCCCTGGGCAGGCCCTTCCAGTGCTTGACCAAATGCAGAGACTCTCACTTGGTGGATAACCAGAAAAGCTGATGTCCGTTTCAGAAACACAAATACTGATTGAACTGATATGAAGCAATGACTAAAATATTCCAGAGGAAGACAAGCACAGGTTTTATTTGCGTGTGTTGGTGGCACAGCAGGAGCAGGCTGCGATGCTGCAACCACATGCCTGGGTAGGAGCAGTGGGGCCAGCGTGGCTCTGCTCTCCCCTCTCCAACAGCAGCAGCCAAGCGCTCCTGCACATGTTCATAAATAAATGGCACGCCTGGCTGAGCCCTGCCTGCACCTCCCTGTGCTCTGAGGCCAGAGGAGCAATTTGTGGCCTTTAGGGACCTGGCAGGCAGCTGCCACCACGGGTCCTGAACAGGGTGAAAGCTTTGGGCTTAGGGATGGCAGCGAAAGGAGCTCGGCTCACAGTCTTGTGATGTTTACAGCACTGACATTGCTTTGAAGAGGAGTGAGGATGAAATTGCGTTGGCTTACTCAGCCAGACAGCAGCAGAAAGCCTTGGTGCTAACCCCGGGCTCTCAGTTGGGGGCCAGAGTAGCAGCCTCACTCCCCCTGCACCTCCCCAGGCTGCAGGGCTTGGAGGGACTAGAGCAAATCACCAAAACCCCTCCCCTCTCAAATGCTGAATGATCTAATTCCTGTGATGCAAGGTACCAGCAACTGCCCAAAAATATTCTTCAGTGCCTATAAGCAGATTAAGAGCAATCCTGCTCCGACCTGCACAGGTGCAACCCAGCGCTTCGATGGCTTGTGACATTTTAGCAGCCACCTTTGGAGCCTCACTATCCCCACTTTTGCTCTCCAGATCTCAGGTGTGACTCCGTCTGTACCACCCTGCAGCGATTCAATGGGCCCCTACGGCTCAACACGGTGAAAAAGCCCACTGCAGCTACGCGGTGACAGCCCTGAGCGCTGCACAGCTGCAGCAGTGCCACCCTGACACAGCCTCTGGTCCTACATCGCCCTAATTCCTTCTTCCCCAAAACCAACCAGAGGATACACGGGAGGCCGTGCCACCGGCTTTGCCCCCGTGGGGTCCCTGCCTGTGCTCACCACCAGCACAGATCTGGCAAGCTGCCCGTTAGCAATTTTTCCCCTCTTTCATGACAGATGTGGCTATGGGCGCAGGCAGGGTTGCCATGGCAGCCATCCATCAGCAGCCAGCACCGCTGCTCCCTGGGGACCCCTGGGTGGGCTCTGTCCTGGGCTGCCGCCAGTCCCCGTGCTCTGCCACCTCCCTCCACTCTAAATTTGGTGCTGCTGCCTGTTCATGGTGGGGCGTCTCCGTTCATGGATAAACACACAGCTGAGCAGCATCCCAGTTGTCCTTTGGATCTCTATGGTGTGGGAATGTATGGGAATGAAGCAGAGAGCCTGCAACTTCCAGCAGCCGTTAGGGACGATGAGCTGAGGAGGGGGTCCTTTGAGATCACGTCTCCTCCCCGATCAAATTCAAGCTTCCTAATTAATGCCCCATTTCCCACCACCACAAATAACCCCAAAATATCCCAAAACACACCCCTCCCTCTCCAGTTACGTGCATCCTGGTAACCCATACTTTAGATACGAGATGTGCAAGGGGAATTTAACAACCTTAACTCAGAGAAGCAGCAGTTGATGGATAAACTGGGTCCTCACCGTCCCCTGAGTCACTTCCCCAGACTCTGCAGCCCACCCACTCCTTGTCCCCTTGCACCACAGGCTCCTTCGGCCAGGACCCCCCTGTCTCAGTGAGAGATTGGCACAGTCCCTCCCAAAGGTCCACAAGACCCCCAGAAAGCAACACTTAATCCAACATACGAATAAGCCTACCTCCTATTTTTTATTATTTTTTTTTAAATTATTCCATAAAGGTTGTCCCTATGACTTCTACTTCCTTTTTTTTAACTCCTGTATCAGATTTCTAATATACATCTCCATTGTCACCTGCTAAAATATGCTCCATGCGTCCCTCTAATTTCAGGAAATCTCAGTTGTTCAGTAAGCTCATCTTTCAGAGCGAGTGGCTGCTATCGAATGGAGCAGCAGCACCCAAAGACCTGCTCATCACGGCAGCAGAAGTGATGACAATACTTCATGTCAGCAGCCTGCCGCGCTTCCGAGAGATCTTAATCTCCGCTGAAAGAGCTCCCTGGTTTTTATTTCCGTATCAGCCTCCTGAATGTCGATAAAAAGAATTACTTGGGCATTATCAGAAACCGTTTTATTTCAACAAAGGGCCAATGAAAAATAAACAAGCCTTTATCTGTGCAGCAAGACCGATAGAGTTCGCGCAAGTCCTAATTCAATCAGATCCTGAAACAACAGCTATTTAACACAGCGACACCTGCACACCTCTCCTCCATGGCTGGGAGCCTTCCCGTGAACACCTTCACCAACCCCAGCACTGGGCACAGACTTAAAAAAACCTCACCCCTCAGTGTTCTTCAATGCAAGGAAAGCAGATTGTGAAATGATTTCTTTTCACTAGCCCATGAGAAGGCCCCAAAATTGAGAGCAGAGGTAGCCAGTCTGGAAGGAAATTCAGATTATCTACTCTGCCTTTCCCAGAGGCCAAGGGACAAGCAGTGCGGCTGCGTGATGAACACCACCTCCTCTGGGTGACCTGCTGGGGGGAGCCCAGGTCCTCCTCCTGACTTGGCCTGAAGGCGATGCAGCACATACAGCATCCTCTGCTGCTTCATGGCAAGGAGGATTTGATGAAAGAGCCTCTCTTAATCCAAGGAGCTTTCTACTGAGCTGCTCTTTTTGGACATTTGGGCTGCTCTGGATGTGCAAATCATTTAAAAACCATTACTTTATTAACACCTGTATATGTCAAGAGCTCTTTGCACTGGAGCTGGAGAAAAGAAAAAGAAACCAAAACCAAACCCTCTTCCCTGGTCAGACCCCAGTAGCATAAGGGCACGGGCAGAGCCCAGCACCAGGGAGGGCTTCTCTCGCTATTGAGGGCTTTGGCACACGGTGGGGCTTTTTTCCTCCCAGGCACTCCAGCAGCACAAGGGGAAATGCTGTGGGTTGGTTTTCTATTTTACATTTTTTTTTTCCCAAACAGATTATAAACCAGCTAAAGCCAAATGGAATTTCACGGGAGGAAAAAGCATTTCTCAGCTTGACAGCTCTCTCCTCACTGAATCCCAGGCCAGCTGCAAAGAAAAAATTTTTTAAAGAGTTCCCACCAAAAATGACCCCAACACCCAAGTAAGAAAAGCCCCTGGAGTTCAAGCCCCAAACCCTTGCCAATAATTCAGCATACCACAAAGTCTCGGGTAACAAAGTTGCGCAGAAGCCCATCGGCTTCATTTCTGTCCCAGGAGGAAAGTCCTCCAAAACACGCCCTGTTCCCACTGATGCTCTGGCATGTGGATGCAAGGGGCAAACAGCTGAAGTCATTTTGCAAAAATAAAGCCGAGATTGTATGGAAACCAAAGGAAACAGTGTTCTACTGCTCTTCAGCATCTTCATGGCCTCCCAGGTGAAACGTGGCTATTTGTTACACCTGAGAAATCAGACTCCACCAATCTTGTTCAGGCAGAGCCAACTTTGAAAACGACCCGTGGGTAAGTCAGAGTGGACTGGATTTACAGGACTGCAAGGAAATAAATGTTATTTAGACTACAGGACGACATCCAGGTTGCTATATTTAAGATAACTCAAACACAGCCTTCTCTCCAACGCTGCCCTGACGAAAGCAGGGTCTGGCACTGCTGGTCAGACGCCCACAGGCACTGCAGGCTGTTACTCCACAGGCTCAGATCAGCACAGCCGAGCTCCAAAAACAGCACAGAAACATTAATTAACTTTTCAGCCCCTTTAGGGCAGCACTCAGAGCCCCAGGCTGTGGTGCCTCCTGCCCTGCCTGGCCCCCCTGAGCATCAGCTGCCAGTGAGGAGGTGGGCTCCGACAGCCCGGCTGTCTCCAGAGATAGATGGCAGATTTAAACTCTATCCTCTGTGGCCTGGGAATGCCGAAGGAGCCACTGACAAGGGAAGCAGCAGGAGGAGGCAGGCGAGGATTTATGGAAAAGCAAAGCAGCTCGCAGCCCTTCCGCACCATGAGGCATCTTCACCGAAATGGCTGCACAGCCACAGACCTCCCTGCCCTCCCTTCCCCATCCCCCTTCTCCTCATTCACCCGCGCTGGCTCCAGGAAATGTTGAGCACGAGAAGCAGCGCCCAGAGCTGGCAGGAATCATGAGCACCCAGCATCCCCCGCCCAGCCTCCATCTTCCCAGCAACACTCCCGGCTCCCTCCAACTGCTTGTTGTTTTTTGGGGCTTTTTTTTAAATGCATTTATTTTCATAGGATGGAATCATTTGCAATTGAATATTGTAACCAAGATGTTAATGACAATTCAGAATAAAGATGTTTTTATCATCAGTCTGCAAAGATTTTTATGGCAAAATGGAGATGCATTTTGCATTGCAGGAAGAGCCTTTACAAAGCCATGACTTTGAAAAAGACGGATGCAAAATAAGGCTTTTTGGGCAATACAGGTGGTGGAAAGAGGACAACATGGAGTAAATAATTTGTGTCAAAAGTCAGATATTTTAAAGAAAAGAAAGCAACTTACCCAAAGCTGATCATCCATTCCTGGTGGGTTCTTTTTAATAAAAGCACCATAATATGTAGCAATATTTCGGTGGTGAGAATACTTCTTCAGCATGTTAATTTCTTGTTTGATCTCTTCCTCTTCATCCTGGGACGAGGCAAAAAGAAAAGAAAAACAAAACCAGGGGCACTAAGAGACTGCACTTCACAGGCTCCCACTTCTCTTTGTACGTGGGTGAACTTCCAAGCACCCCAATTTCGACCAACCTCTCCCAGGTTGCACCATTTTTTAGAGCCACTTTTTGCAGCTGAGCCCCATGAGCCTGAGGTCTGGACTGGAGACCAATGGGTTGCCCTTTGAGCAAAAAGCTAAGGAGAAAACACGTGCTTTGCCACATTCCCTGTTGTATTTCTGAACCTCGAACTGGACAGATCTGCAGGCAGTGTTGAAATTAGGTTGTTTCCTGGTGCAAGGACCTGCCAGGAGGGCTGGGCAAACAAAGCAAGGTCTGGCCAGGAACTGAGCCCTTGCCTGGAGACATGCTCTCCATCCAGAGGTGCACCAGTGTCAGGCTTTGGCATCACAGCAGAATTACATGTTTTCAGGATCTTAAACATTCCTCCACCTTTTAAAACTACTTCCTTTACAATCTGTGTTATAATTTACATCAGCATCATGCTGCTCCAAAGCTGAACAATACTGGTGTCACTCCAGTACTGCTGCAGCACACCCTCCTAGGGCCATCAAAGACAGTTTTTACGGCAGGAGTGCTCCTGCACTGTGCATCCCAGCTGTCCAACACACCACTCCTGCCTACCCTAGAAGCAGTACAAGATATTTGAGGACACCAGGTGTTATTGGTGGTGTGGTGGCACCACACAGGGAGCAAGCAGATGCTGCCCATCCACAAACTCTCTGCCAGATTCACTTGGTCCAGGTGACAAGCACCATCCCCATGGGCTGTCACAGCCCTTCTCCATCTGGTCTGCAAAGCAGCAATAGCTGAAGCAGCCCAGGCAGGGGAACTGCACCAATCCCTGTTTTGATGTCCTATCTCTTTGCTTTCACAACCATCAAACATGCCCTGGTTTTATTTTAAGTTGACCGAATTCCAACCTGCTGTAATTTCACAGGCTGTGGTGCAGTAGTTAGCACCCTGATGTCCATAAGCTTTATTATAAAAGCAGCAGTTATAAATGGGTTGATACTTCTTTATTCCTCTTTATTGCCCTTGTGTCCCTCATCTGCTTCTTCGTGACTTCAGTTTTACAAATGGGCAGAGGACACAACACCGCAGCGAAAAGTGAAGCTACAGCAGCTCTTCTTGAAGAGCGATGCCACCTGTCCAGGTGTCACACAACATGGACAGGAACACGGCTTTCTTCCCAAACTACCACAGAAAGGGACTTAATGGCTACCTTCCAGAGAGAAGTCAGGGAAGAACAGTGAAGATTAGGACAAGAGGAACAAATAAAAGCACCTGACTAGGAAAAATGGAGAGGAGCCACTGGGACACTTGGTCTAAAGTTTATCTCGAGTTCCTCTATAGGCTGAAGTATTCATTCAAAATGGGTGTGTGTGGGGGGGGAGGTGGGGAGTTGAAAAGGCAAAAAATCACCCCAAAAAACTAACACCAGGGCAGTGGAGGTCAGGACGGCACCTGAGGACATGTCTGCATGGCCAGGTTCAGGGGTCTCCAGCCCAACCTCCTGCTCCAAGCAGGACTATCGCCAGTGATCACCACAGCAAATCCAGAGAAGGAGGGAAGAAACAGGAATTATCACAACAAGCTGCTGTACCTAGTCCAGCCCTAAAACTAACAAATCCCACAGACCAGGTTTGACTGCCATGCTTTGCCTCCATCAATCCATTCTGTTACATCAATGGCTGGAAGTAGGTCATGCAGCATAGAGCAGGATCAGCCCCCAGAAAATTAATCCAAATTCTTTATTCAGAAGATAGTGGCTGCCCACACTGATCAAGTGCTGTAATTTGAGGGCATCTACACTGCAAGCTTCCCTAACAGACAATTAGCAAGAGCACAGATGAATTAAACAAAGCATCTTTCTCAGAGCCTTTGGGGGTTTAGTGCGAGGCACGTGGTGGGGATGAGATGCTGGCTGGGAGCTCACTTAAAACATGGGGGCTTTACACTTCAAAAACTTCATCCGTGAAACTGCAGACGGCTGTGGTTGAGATGACCACACTAGTTCTGTTCTCTGCAGGCTTTGGAAAGACATGTTGTGAGCAGGGACACCCTGGAAAAACAGGTGGGATGGAAGATCTGGACAAAACAAAGCAGCGGCCGTACTGAAATCAGTGCATGTCAGAAGGTGGTGAGGGCCTGGACACGTTTGGGTTTTCACCAGCATCCTTCACACTGAGCCTGGACCAGGTGCCAAATGTGGCTGTAAGCAATGAAACAGGGACTGGCTTTAGAAATTACTCCAAAAGTGATTCCCGGGACCATTTGTGTGGTGGCTGGAGGACAGGGCTCTAGATCTGACTTCAGCACCAAGAGATATGAAGCAGCCCCCACCACATCACAGGCTTACTGCATCTCCACTGTGGTCACCTCCCATCCTGCCCAAGCCTGGTCCTGCTCCCTCAGCACCCTTCTGTTGGTGACTACAGGCCAGTGACATCCTTTCAGAGGACATGAAGGTCTCACCTTTGCACCTCAGCTGGTCCTGCTACTGCCTACTAGATAGCTACTTCTACACTCACGCAATACTGGGGTTGTTCTGAGAAGCCACCACATGGGGTATTCCATTGGGTAGAAGAAGAGAGCAGAAATTCAGTTAGGGTTTTTTTTTTAGAGGACCAACTTTAAAAGCTTGCACATCATATATTAAAATAGCTGAAGCGTTTTAGTATGGCCAAAAGCAGCTTGAGGGGGAAATAATTAAGTATCCAAACAACACAGCTCATGCCAAATATCTGATTTAATATCTCAGATATTCAGAGATGAGAGATGCTGCTTTGGAAGGTAAAGACTTAGATCAGGAGCACCTACTTAAAGATGTGGCTGAAAATATCGGTTATTGTGAAGGATCAGATTTGGGCTACTTTTCTCCAACATCTTTTGTGACAATATTTTAAAGCCACTGAACTAAGTATGGTCTCAAATTTAAGCCCTTGTTCAGCCCCAGAGTAATATTCTGATTTCTCAGCTTAAATTTGCTGTAAACTCAGACTTCATCCCATGAGAATCTCACTGCTATTTATGCCATAGAGTTATGTTTGGTGGCTCTGCCCATTCCCTTACAGTCTGCTTCCCATGAGACCTAGATAAATGGCACTTGTAGATATCACAAGTAAACAGAAACAAATCTCATTCACATTTACTGACTTAATTCCATGCATCATTTCACCTGTTAGCACAAAAAAACCCCTGTAGATATTAATACCACACCAAAACATCTAAGGTATTTTAAAACATACTCATAAGGCCAGCTGACTCCTTCCACAGCAAGTCAATTCTGTACATCTGAACTCCTGAAAGCTACTTAAAAACATTAATTAAAAAAAAAATAAAGGGAGTAGATTGGGATCAAGTCCTAAATTTTGAAATGTATTATTCCAGTAAGCCCACAATAAAACACATCCTTGCTCCCAAACCTGGTGCTTACGTAAGCAAGAACTTTGGGAGGTATAATACTGCACTTAAAAATTTATTCAAGAAAAAGCATTTTCAGGTGACTCTCCTACATGCATCTGTTTAGGTTTTTAGGAATCATAGCAATTCAACTCTTTTTTTTTTTTTCTGTGGCCACTGGGAAATGGTGAAGCCATTCTTTCCCCTAAATCCATTTAGTAACTCATAAATTCTTGGTTTTCTTAGTCTGACAGGTTTCAAGAGAGCTGCATTTTTTCCTTTTTTAATTTAACTCGCCTAGTAAAGTTATTCATAACAGTACCTGAACATAGTTTTGGTGAACAAAAGCTTTTTGGTAAAAAACATGGATTTGGAGAAACTGAAATGTGTTACGAATACATGGTCCTGTTGCCACAATTTTCTTCAGTTTTATTAACACATTCAAAAGTGCCACTGCTGCAACTGGATGCTGCTTTGTTTCAGCATAAAGTTACTTAATCTCCAAAACTCTTGCAGATTTGTTTTTCTCTCATTTATTAAGACCAAAAACTCTTAACAGCACATTTCACATTAAGGCAAGGGGGGTTTGCTCCCCAGAAACACAATCCTGCCACCAACCCCCACCCATCATCACATCCCATCCCCTGTCCCCCCTTATCTGTCACTGAAGGATGCAGGAGGAGGAGGAGGATACGTTACCCCGGTGACGTCCATAACCTTAATAGCAGCAAGCTGGCCGGTCTTAACATGACGACCCTGCAAAAGAGAAGGGAGAAGTTTTCCTCGCAGTGAACAATATCCTTCAACAACCTCCTTGCCCTTGCAGCATCCACACATTTTTTGTCAAGAGCATCTTCACAGCAGCCATGATGGGAAAGCAATTCCCTCCCCTTCCTCCTGCCATTACCATTAATCAGCAAAGGGCCTTCAATGCTGTATTTTTCTGGCAAACAAGTGTTGGAAATATCCTTTAATGCTCAGCCATGCAAAAAAATAAACAGCTCGGGACCTCTCCTGAGCACAGAGCATGACTCGGCTGGAAATGGTTGGCTGGAGCTGTGGTGATGGGAATGTGCTGCTGGGGTACCCACACAGCACTGGCTTCAGTCCCCTCCTTGTCCTGCCTGGCTCTCACGGACTTGGGGATGCCCAAGGGACTCCAAGCTTGCCAGGCACCATTATACACCCTGTCCACTCATTTATTTATTTTGTAAATAAGTAAATAGGAGACTAGGGAGATTTTTAAAATCGGATTTGCTTCTTGGCTGTGGAATCAACCCCATCTCCAGCACTGACACAAGCAGGGAGCGTTCATCTAGAGGAGGTGCTCAAGAGCCAGCGTGGAAACAGCAGCTCCAGGACACATACAGCCTCCACCATTTTCAGCAACTAAAAAGTTACCAAATCACTGCAATGAACTGTCCGATGGGTAGTGCTCAACTACACAAATCCTAATAGAAAAATCCCTGGAAGTGATGGGGGAAAAATTATAAAAGAGCCCAAACTGTTGATGGGGTCTGAAAACAAACACAGCTGCTATCAGCTGCCTGTTCCCAGCCTTTCCCCCTCTCCCGAGAAGTGGATCACCCAACATCATATCACAACCACTCATACCAAATCATTCCCCACTCCATTTGAGGACACATACTCTGCTTACAAACTGGGAAGAGCCAAAGGAAGAGATGCTGCTTCTCCAGGAAAACCAGCAAACGCTGATCCCAGCAGGAGAGCCGGGAAGACAAGGGAAGCATCTCCATTTCCCAGCCATTTCTCACCAGGGAGCAGCCCAAGGCCCCATCACACGAGATACAGCATGGAGGACACACGGGGAATGGCAGCTCCTGCCCTGCAGCACTGATAGTTAATGCACCAAGGACACGGGGAGCAGAGGCTGAGAGGGGCCAAGCTGCAGCACAGCAAGAACAGGATAAAATATGAACTTTTTCTAAATTACAGGCTCCTCTGGCCCTGCTGCCCCTCACTAGTGTGTTTTTTGGTGAGCTGGGGTTTGTACCCAGGTTTTCCAGCCCTGCTGCAGGCTGGAGAAGGCCTTTCACACCGTCTCGCCTCCAGCAAGAACCCCAGACTACTAGACACAGGGACCTCTCCCCAGCCCTTCAGGTTTGCAGGCGCTGCGTTGGGGAGCAAACCCACGCGCTGGCTGCAGAGCAAAGCGGCATCATCCTCTCCAAATTTATGACTTCAGCA